CTAGTATAATATTAATTAAAAATAAGACTATAAATTTAAGTTTTTAAATTTTAGTACAAGAACTACCTTAATTAAGAAAGTTAGTAGAGAATAAAATAAATAAAAAAAAGTAGTTTTTTTTATAACTAGTTACTAGTAAAGAATATCTAAGCGTTTATAAAAGATTATTAAAAGGCGCTAGTAGTAGTACTACCTAAAAGACTAAAGTTAATTTAAGCTATATTATAAGGCCTAAATTATACTTTAAAAATACTATATAAGTGGATTCTTGTAAGGGGGCTCGACCCCGGAGGGTAGTCTTAAGCTCGGGGAGCACGATCGGACAGGCCAAGGTAACAAGATTGTATTCGATAGAGAGCTAAGCTCTCGGCTACGTAGCTATCTATATACAATGCTGGTTGCTAGGGTAACAATCGGGCCGGGCAGGTGGAGTAAACGAGGTCGTAGACGAGTATGGGAGGCGAAGGGCGTTCAGCCCGTTACAATGCCGTATACTTATCAGTTCAATAGGCGCTGTACAACTCAAAGATCAATGTATCCATTGAATGATACTAACTTGTGATGTCAGTGGATTTGAAATGTAACCTACACTCTAAAGACATACAGAGATATGTCGACGTTCAACTTCACCTTTTCCCATGTAGTGATCTCTGCCCAAGCAAATTGATTATATTATACTTCATATGAACCTTGATTCATCCACGGTTCAAATCATCATTCAAACCTTTCCCTCAACGTTGTGCAGCAACTGTCAAAGACTTTGTCATATGTTACCCAAGTAGCCAGGTGATAATCAAGATAGGGACTTCACGGGAAGATGATAAGACTGCTGCATTACCGTTATCAGTCTGTTGCTTTATACTCACTATCAGTTCAACAAGCCGTTTTTGTGGAAGTATGCGGTCTAATAATGGGGCCTGAAACCCGGGCCGATGATAGACTTATCTAAGACATCCACGCGTGGAGATTACTGTGCACTAGAGACCGGGCCGGTGAATCCCTTATCTGTGCTGATTGCGGGGTACCCCACAAAACCTGGTTATAACTGGGCCCTGTGAGAACTATACATTTTGCAAATCCAAGCCCGGCGTACCTGCATCTCATTTTCCATGCCCAGAAGTAGGCCATGGCTTCTCATCCAATCAAAGACGACAAAGAGGTCAGCAAGACCATGGACGACAATCAAGTCCACATCGCGGTCGGTACTGTCGAAGAACGCCGCGCCTACACGCTTCGGACACTCTTCCGAAGCGTCTTGTTTCAGATGGTTCTTTTTGGAGCGTGAGTTGCCTCGTTAGATGTGCAGACAACCTATTGACCATGGCATCAGGCTGTCGTTTGTCGGACCTGCCATGTCAGATGCTATAACCAACCTGGGCGGCGGTGGGCTGTCTTCGCCATGGCTTGCGAATCTTGCCAATTCGTTGAGTTACACTATGAGCTTCTTTAGCACCATTATCGGCGGACCCATTATCAATAGGATTGGCATTAAATGGGCTTGCGTTATAGCAGCATTGACCATGCCCCTGCAAGGATCTTCGTACTATGTTAACGCTAGATATCATAATGAAGCATATCTTCTGGCGGCCAACGTATGCAAGACCGACCTGGGTTTGGTATCGAAAACTGCTAATCTGAGCAGGTCATCAAAGGTATCGGAGGCGGTTTTCTCTACGTGGGTGAAACGACGGCTATGTTGTCGTATCCAAAGCCAGAAGACCGAGGGTTTTATTTGGGTATGTTTGAATCGAATCAAGGCAGACTTGGATACCAGTGCTGAGTACTCACAGGTGTGTGGTCCGCGATGCGAAATTCGGGCAGCGTGATTGGCGGTGCCATCAACTTTTCGACAAACCATACAGATTCAAAGGGTGGGGGTATTGCTTGGGCAACGTACCTCATATTTGTTGGCTTTGGTACTGTTGGATTTTCCAACTTCATTTCACCAATGCTAATGATTGCTAGAATGCTCTGGATTCATCTGGGCTCTTTTGTTGTCAACGACGTCAAAAGTGCGCCGCAGGGACAACAGCCCAGTCAACATGAGTGTAGAGGTCTCGTGGAAGGAAGAATTTCTGGCACTATGGTCTTACCTGAAGGAACTCAAGGTAGGTAAGGATAGCTGGGGGTGGAGTTGAATAGACTAACTCGGGTCTAGACATGGCTGATATTCATCCCTGCCTTCTATTCCTTCTTCTACGGCGGAACCATGGGTACCTATCTCTCACTTCACTTTTCGGTCCGCGCCCGTGCCCTTTCGTCTCTGATCGTCCGTAAGTAGGCTCACTGTACGTTTTGTTGCGTATACTGATCCAAGCAGCGACTATCACTATTCCATCGGTAGTACTGTTTGGCAAGCTACTTGACACGCCTCGGTGGTCGCAGCGGCGCCGTGCGTGGACGGCAATGTCGGTATGGGGGCTGCTACAGATGGGCTGCTTCATTTGGATCGCAGTCGAGTATGCTGTGCTACCAGATAAGATTGCTTTGGATTACCGACTGTGAGTTTGTTGAATGGGGCGGAAAACTACCCAGGCTAATGGTGACAGGCATTCGCATAAATGGGCCCGAGCCTATATGCCCTACCTGATTATCTTCGTTTCAGGCTACTGGACTCAGCTTACTTTGTACTGGATCTTGAGCACACTCTCTGATGATGTCGGAAGGGCTTCGCGTTCCGGTGGCGTGTTCCGTGCCTTTGAGACTGCAGGTCAAGCAGTTGCGTATGGGCTGAGCTCAGCAAACCACATCCATCACGTCATTCCACTCTACGTCAACCTTGCCCTGCTGGTTCTCACGATACCTAGCATATCCTTGTTGATCACCAAAATGCCAAGGAGGCCTGAAGAGCTAGCGCACACAGTAGAAGAGCACACCAAGCAGCATGAAGTGGTTCTTGCTGACTCTTCGAAAGGCAAATAAGGATACGCGCATATCTCGAGAGTAATTTGGACATGGGAGAGTCTGTGCAAATACATGGATAGACGAATATCACGTGTTGTTCTGTTGTGGAATTTCTGATGCCTGCATGTGCACCTGCGGATGTGATGGCCACATGCCACATGTCACCAAGGCCGTGAAGCAGGCAAGCAGCACACGCAGGCCTGGTGGATTTCCTTTCCCAGAGATTGCTTGGTGGAGAGCTCAAGTGTCGCTGGAACTACTCATTCACCGCTGTCCTTGGTCAAGTAGCTCCGGCAAAGAACCGGTCCGATCATGGAAAGCCAGTAAGAATGAGAGTGAGACGTGCATGTACTATTGGTGCTAGTAGTAGTACTCGGAAGGCAAAAGCAGTTCGAAGGTGGATCCAGTTGAACAACACGTGGCGGCGGGCGATCGAGTGTTTAGTTGGGTACTTAGTTTCGTACCATTAATACCGAAGGCCGGCCCGGTCACAGAGGGCGGGGGGGCAACACAGCTTGCACCCGCCGACGGCCCGCATCGTCAATATTACTAGTATTCCCTCGCAGGATATATCCACTTGCCGCAAGACATACAAAGTTGCAAGAATTTTCCGATCCCGCAGCCGCCATGCCTGCTTCTAAGCGTAGTTCCTACCGATTTCCAGTAGCCAATGCCTTGCCCTCTTATTGGAGAAGACAGCCAGGCTCAGTCGACAACCATCGCAGTACTGCCGAACTTGTTCCCCAGGCTGATGTTGTCGTCATTGGTGCCGGTTATGTGGGCGCGTCAATCGTCCACCATCTGGTCGAGGAGAGTTTGCGGGACAATCGACCAATGCCGTCGATATTAATTCTCGAGGCGCGCGAGGCCTGCTCTGGCGCGACCGGCCGCAATGGTCAGTGGTCCAAATGCTCCAAAACATGGCAAGGCGTTTCGGAATATTAATGCGCACACAGGTGGTCATCTGAAGCCAGATCCGTTGCTGAGAGCAGCGGCTGTGTTGGACACTCATGGACAAGCGGCTGCAGAACACGTGGCTTCCTTTGAGCAGCGCCAGGTTGATGCAGTCAAAGAGCTGGTCGAGCGTGAGAACATCGACTGCGACTTTGAAGAGACCAGGGTTATAGACGTTTGCACTTACCCCGAGGGCCGGGACAAGATGAGAGCCACGATTGACAAGATTACCAAGGCCAACGTCTCCACAGCCAAGATGATCAGTTTTTTTGCTGGCAAGGAAGCGGAAGAGGTACGTCTAGCATGGCAACAGAAGCTGTCGTGTGGATTGTGGGGTCTATTGCAGATATCGTGGCGTCGAACAAGAATCCATCTTGGCTGACTCTGTCCCAGGTGTCTGGTATCAAGGGCGCCTTGTCGTGCCACACATATCACGCGGCTCGCCTTGCGCCTTACCATCTCGTGACTAGGCTTCTGGAAAAGGCCATATCCCTGGGGGTAAACCTACAGGTATTCACACCAGTGACCCAGGTTCGACAAGCAGCAGACCAGGGTTTCCGCTGGGAAGTCGACACTCCGCGTGGCACAGTCAAGACCAACACGGTCATCTACGCGACCAACGCATACACATCTGCCCTGGTTCCAGAGATGAAAGGGAAAATCGTGCCAGTCAGGGGTATGGTGGCGAGACTTGCCAGCCCGACGGCGCCGAGGCTCACCGACAGCTATATGATGCGTTTCTCAGAGTTTGAATATGATTACATGATCCCGCGACCCGATGGCAGCATAATCGTGGGAGGCGGACGCCGAGACTACTACAAGGATCTGAACGAGTGGTTTGACGTGGCAGATGACAGCAGGCTGATGAAGGGTGGGCCGGATTACTTCGATGGCTACATGCAGCGACACTTTTACGGGTGGGAAGACAGCGGTATGCGCACAGAAGAAGTCTGGAGCGGCAGTAAGTCATCCGTCTTGACGGCGATACTGGAGGGCTCTGGCTAACCCTCGATTCCCACTAGTCATGGGCTATTCCAACGACGAGTTCCCTTATGTTGGGCCTGCCGTCGGGAGGCACGGCCAGTACATATGCGCGGGCTTCAGCGGACACGGCATGCCCCAAATCTTCCTTTCAGCAAAAGCCATCGCGTCCATGGTCATGACAGGGGATGCGGAAAATGTCGATCTGCCAGCGCCATATCGCATCTCGCAAGAAAGGTGGTTTGAGCAGAAAAAGCATGCATCTCTCGAGGCGTGGCAGCAGGTTGCGGGAAGTGAGCCGGTTCAGGCCAGACTCTAGACGGCTGGGTATGTACACTGGCGAAATGAACCAAGCAAAGTGCATCCCATGCCCTCTGACGGCGCAATGATATGGACTCGAGCAAAATTCTTGCATGATATTGCGAGATTAATGCCTTGTAATCGACGCAAGCCTCACCTTGGCATACATAGCAAGTTCTCGAACAGTTCGCTTTCGACAATGCCATGGTCGTTGAAATCCGACGTAAAGAAAGCAATATTACCGTCCATATTCAGTAGATCGAGATCAAAGGGATATTCATCAATGCCAGGACCATCCGCAGCACCGGCTGCTGGGAACTCGTTTCCGTGTGGCCCGGGCTGGGGGTGGGGCGCAAGCACTGGCGCCCTTGCGCCGTGCGAGTCCATAGCCGTTGGGATCGATGTGCTGGCACGAGGGTTGATACACCCGGCTGCTTTTGTGTACCAGTCCAGGAGTCCTTGATAGCTCGCTTGGACTGACTCTCCTACTGCGTCTTCCGCACCATCATCACATTCTACATTGAAGTCCTGGAGCCGATGTAGTGCTTGTTCCAGAGTCTCGAGAAGAGACACTTCTGAACGCGCAGAGTCACCCACCGAAGCCATTTCCCTTATGGCATCAAGGCCTTTTTGCAAGTTGTTTGAGAAGTCGTTGGTGCGTCGGCAAATGCTGTAAGCGATCAAGACCAACAGCGATGCCCGGCAGGCGCTGTATTCGGTATAGGATGACCTTGCAAGGCCCATACCGCCCGTCTGCATGCCACTACAGATATCAATGGCTTCATTTGCAGCCGAGACGCATTCATCAATCAAGACATTCCACCTGATCTGCGAATTAGCCGCCGTCGCTTTTGGCGCTCGCGACACATGTTCCGTGGCGTTGGGATCACGGTGCTGGTTGTCTGGCCGCACTTGACGATGGGCTAGCACAAAGGGCCGGCCAATGAATATATGTAACAGGCAACACTCTAAACGAGCATGCAGTGCCGCACGAGATGCCAAATGGTCTACGTTTTGGTGGCGTGCAGCCCATGGACGCTGCAATTTCGTCTTCATTTGTGTAATGCGGTCCATGATTGTGCCAGCCTCGGATCTTGGACATGTCCGAAGTTGAGAACTAGGAGCATGGTCAACCAAAGTCTTTTGAAGCACAGTTCTAACGGCCTATTGACGCACATTTGGTAGAGAAATGCTTCGGCCTGGCAAGTCAAATGAATGGATTCGAGGAGGCCGGTTGCGTCAAAGTCATCATCATCTATTCCGCTCGTGTGAAAGCTCGTGGGAAAATCGGCATCGATATCAGAACGTTGGATAGATGCTGGGCGACCGTGGTATATGCCAATCTTTCTGCAATTCCATGATAGTGAGCAAAATTTGTGCAGTCTTGACAAGACGCAGTACACACCTTTCTATGCAATACGCCGTCCACCAGATGCGACGTCTCATTTCCTTAGCCTTTGTATCGAAGACACCCCGCGAAAGCCTTCGGTGCATGCCATTTTGTATGGCCACCTTGATGGCTAGATTCGAGTAGACGAAGCCCAATCCGGATGCATCTATTGGTAAGTTGTAAAGAGCAAGCAGTAGAAAGACCTGGACGCTGAGCAGAGAGCCAGAGTGTATGACTTCCGAGATGGACTTTGCCGCCTGCCGGTAGAAGGTGCAACCAATGTCGAGCTCCCAGTTAACAGGAGTCTCTAGGTTTGCTGGGCCTCTGCGCCCACATTTGTTGTTGTTTTGCTTTGAAGTTTCCAGGTGGACATATTGGGTACCTACGGCAAGTACCATGAGCACCACACAAGCTGCAGGCACATCTTTTGAGCTCAGGTGGGCCGAATTTCGGTGGAGATGATCCAAGGTTTCCTTTACCCAGTTGCTATCGACATAGTAGTAGATGCTCGTGGCACGCGTGAAGAAGACGTTTGCCAAGAAGGCCGACACTGGACGGGGCGGTAAGGTAGCAACAAGGTCCCGGATGGAAGTCGAAGCCGGGTCCGGCTCCGCAACGCGATAGAAGTCTGGTATGCGTTCAATGCTTTCCAAGGTCTAGTCGCCATGAGCATGGGCAAACATGGAAATGTACACGCAGCCTGACGCACCTTGACGTTGGATTTGGAGATGAGGTCGTCTATGTTGCGTTTGATGTGCATGGAAAAGTTCCAATGCGAGAATTCACCAGAGTAGTCTGCAGCGCAACACGAGCCATTGGTTAGCGTTGTGTAGCTAGCGCGTGTGAAGCATGGTGCCGACATACGAGCTGTAGTGTCGTCGACATACTCGACTGTACAGTTTTCGTCTTCAATGCCCGGACTCTCGGAAGCTGGCGGTGCCACGGCGGGCTCTAGGGGCATGGCGGGCACGCTACTTTGGCCAAGGTCGGGCCAAGAAGGGAGGGACTCGCATGTCTGCCGCAGAGCCTCAACATCGAGGTTGATTCGAGGCAAATGGTGGCGCAGAATGGCTTCCATGTACTTGACGCGGTCCTTGAGCTCCTTCAACAAGGCGGCAGAGTCGGCCCCGCGCCGCCACGTCACAGTAGACGGATTGTTGAATTCACACGGCCGGCGTAGATGGCGGCAGCGTTTACACGGCGTGCCGCCCTCGCATTTTTCTTTGAGGCGACGACACTCGTCACAACTGCGCAGAAGGAGTCAGCGCCTGTCTTTGTGGCACGTTGCTGCACCAGACGCGGCAGGGAGGCATCATCTCACGCGCGCACAGCCCGTTGCCGCTCTTGTGCCGCCAACTGACGTTTCTTGGTGGGTCTTGGGTTCTCAGGCTCCATGCTGGACCGGAAGTGTCTGCTTGTGCTGGCGTGTCGCGAGAGTTGGACACTTTGTGGGACCGTGCCGGTCATGGTCATTTATCTTGACCGGACCGGTCCGGTCCGGCACGTGACCAATACGCGCGATAGTGATAGAGGAACTGCCGTCTTATGGGGCGGATGGATGGATAAATGCATGGATGCAGCATCGAGTCATTCCATCGGCGACAGTGACAGTGACCGGGGGCATGGTGGTGGTGCGCGGCGAGCGGGTGCTTGGTCCAACGGCGCGTGGGTGTGGGCGAGCAGACGTCAAGGTTTGGAGCATGTGTGAGTGTGAGTGGCGCAGACTTGGGAGAATGGAGAACGGAGGCCGGAGAATAGAAGAGCCGCCGCCCGCCCGCCCGGGCCTAGCCGGGGCTAGCGTGGCTTGGCGCTTGGCATCGGCTTGTCGACTGCGACTCTTATCAACATCAAGCACTCAGCCCGGCTTCTGCTTGTGCTCTAGCGCCGCCCAATCCCCGTAGCAGTAGTAATCGTCGAGCATTACCTGCATACCACACCACATGCATCTCGTCGGCTAATCTGACCTTTCCACGCATGGATTACTATGCACTGCCCTTGTTGCATGCGAGCGAGGCTACCTGTCTGCTGCAGCGTCACCAACACGAACACGAACACACTCTCGTCCCAGTACACTCAAGCAACTCTCGCACTTGGCTATGGCATTACGGTATCATGACGACTTTGCTACAATGCCGTTGGCCATGTCGACCAGGGAATCCGTCACAACCTCCATCTTGGCCTCACTAAACACGTCCAAGCAAGGCTCATGCTCATAGACAGAGCACCATGCACCGCGAAAGCCAACCTTGGTCGCGGCCGAAACGTCCCACATGTGCGCGGCCGCAAACCACTTTGTGTCGTTTGCACCCAGGCGATCCCACACGACGCGGTAGGCATCGAGCGCCGGCTTGGCCACGCCCGCAGAGTCGCAGCTGACAAAGTGCTCGAGCGGCATGTCCATGTTTGCGCGCTCAAAGTAGCCTCTTACGCGCTGCACGTCGCCTGTGGTAAGGCACCAGATGGTGAAGCCGTTGTCGCGCAGCACCTGGAAGGCTTCCTGGCAGCCCGGCCGGATCTGGAGCGCCGAGTAGCCCTCGATGCACTGCTCTCTTTGGTCGTCGGTCGCCAGCTTGCGGGGCTCGGCCACGCCACAGAGAGCGAGGGTGCGGTAGAAGAGGCCGCGAAGCACGTCCTTGTAGGGCTTGTAGCTGCCCTGGATAGATAGAAAGGTGAACTCGAGCTCTGCCGCCGTTTGCCAGGTGAAGCCAAAGTGTTGCGGGGTAACCGTGTGCTGGCGCAGCTGGGGGCCCAGGACGGCATCGATGCGCTCGTAGTATGCGTCAAAGGAGACGCAGGTGCCGACGACGTCAAAGACGACGTGCTTCTGGGGGGCCATTCTGCGTGTTGAATTGGGAGTGGGAAGAATGGAAGGGAAATGCGTGGCAATGCGTGGTGTCAGTGTGGAGTGTGGAGAAAGAGAGCTATCTGTGGCGAGCCGACAAGGACAAGGACAAGGACAAGCACACGCACACGCACACAGACTAGTAATACGTGCGTATATTCCTCCCTTGGCTGGCCTGGTCGTCCGACTGTCGACGTGGTTTGCCGCCGGCGCCAGTAGGCAAAAAAGCCTGTATGTACAGTAGGCAGGAGGATGGGGTAGAGCAGCAGCAGTCGGAACATCAGGTCAGCAACCCCGCAGCTTATCAGACCCGGGCCGGTCGTCGGTCCGTTGGCCTCAGAGGCCGTGGCACTCGTGGCCGGCTCGACTCCCGGGCGCCATTGCGGTACTTTACCAGTATCTTGCTTGCTGTTGTGACTTATATGGAGGCCGAGTTATCTGATCAAGCTGCGGTAATCTGATTCACTTTCATTTTGTGTTTTCACCGTTGGGCGAAGAGCAGGAAGAAGGACGGCGACGACAACGACGACAACAACAACAACAACAACAACAACAACCAGAAGCCATGGTGCTGCCATCTACTAAGCCGACAAAGTCGTACTGGATCGAGGCCGCCGAGTCTCAATTGCGCAACTTTCGTTCGAGCGAGCAACTGCCTGCCGAGACGGACATTGCCATCATTGGTAGTGGGTACGCGGGTGCATCGACGGCCTATTGGATCCACAAGGTTGGTGCCGCTGGCCCGGTAGTCGACGTACTGTGTTTGGTAATCTAAGAGTCTTGTTTTAGTATACGGAGAAGACTGCACGCCAGCCAAAGGTGACGATTCTAGAGGCCCGCGATGTGTGTGGCGGTGCGACGGGGCGTAATGGTAAGCAAGCACAGCCAGCGCACATGAAAAGCAACCAAGACGAGCAAATAATTGAACAAATCAACAGGGGGCCAGCTGCGCCCACATGCATACTCTCGCTATCCCATCTGGCGCGAGCGCTTTGGGCCCAACGGCGCAATGGCCCTCATCAAGCACGAGATGGCCCATCTCGCTGCATTCAAGGAGCTGGCGCAGGAAGAAGGCATCACGGCCGAGATATGCCTGCAGTACTGCGAGACGTTTGACGCCGCCATGACCGACGAGGCGTGGGCCCGGCTGTCCAAAGCACTCCACGAGCTCCGTGCCGACCACGGTGATGACGACGAAGTCGCTCAAGTGTGCAGAGTGATTGAGGATGCTGCACAGGCCGAAGAGTTTACGCAGATGAAGGGAGCCATGGCGGCCATAGTGCATCCGTCGGCATCCATGTCAGTCAGACTTGCTCCATTGTTGGTGTGCGCCTTGCCTTGATCCGTTTCTGACAAAGTTTTCCAGATGGCCGTACAAATTCGTGCACGCCCTGCTGCGCATCCTGCTCGAGACAGGCAATGTGCAGCTGCATGCCAACACGCCCGTGACGGCAGTGTCTGAGCGCAGTGCCGATGGCTGGATCAACGTGACGACGGAGAGAGGAAGCATGCGCGCTCGCACAGTCATTCACACGACCAACCGATGGGCGTCGCATTTGCTGCCCGAATTCACCAAGCTCATCTTGCCCCAGGTGTGTACTGTAGCGGCCGTCAAAGCCCCCGAGGGCTTCATCAAGCATACTGGTGCTCAGCACTGGGACAACTGTGTCAACGTAAGTACCTCCGCTTGCAAGTCGGCGCACATGGTTGGTAGGGAGATGCTCACATGACGCAGAACTACCATCTCCAACTTCCACCACCATACAACACCATCATCGTCGGCGGCGCACGCCAGGTCCGCGTGCACCACCCCGAGCTAAGCCTCTTTAGCAACAATGAGGAAATCCAGATTCCCGGCGTGCCCGATTTTTACAAGACGTGGGCAGCGTCAGACGTCAAGGACTGGCCGGGACCCAGCGTCGCAGAGTTGGGCAAGCAAGACAACGAGGGTGGCGTTTGGACTGGACGTACGTCTCGCATCCCAACTGCACATCATCTTGTTGCTTTGGCTGATTCTTTTCTAGTCCACGATACCGGCCCAGACGGCTTTCCCTTTGTTGGACCCCTGCCATCTCACCCCGGCCAATTCATCAATGCTGGATTCAACGGACACGGTGCGTAGAAGGCCCCATAGCCAGCAAGACGTCTTGTATTCTAAACCGACATGTAGGCATGCCCCGGATTCTTTTGTCGTCGGCACACATAGCGCCCCTCGCACTCGACGCCATAGGTTTCGTGTTCCGCCAACCACGCCTGGCTGCGTCATATCCGAATCTGCCAGAGCCGTTCCGCGTGACGCCAGAGCGCGTTGCAAAGCTCCAGGGTGCAGACATAGAGGCCATGTTCACTGCCTACCGGGAACAGTGCGAGACCAGTGCGAAGAAGCCCTTTTGTAATATAGACAGAGTCAAGGTAGCTAAAGCTGGACCGAATCTATAAGTATCTCGGCTTATCCGTGAAATTAACAAACGGAGCGGTGGCTGTGTGTGTGTGTGTGGATGATTGCCTGCCGCATTAGTGCAAGTGAGTAGCAGGTAATGGTCTCAATGTGACGGCAACATGGACAAGGTCGCCTCACGTGACAAACGGCTTCCGTGCGTAGACAACGGTGCCAGGAAGGTATGCGTGGGCCTTGTAGCTCTTCAATTCCTTGCGCATCTGGGCAAGGTGCAGTTGAGCGCGCGCAACGGACCACTGCATGCAGTTAGTCGAGGCTGGCAGCATGGTGGCACACAGCGCAGTTGGTTAGTACTACTTACCCCTCCGACCTGGGTCAGCAAGCGCAACATGAAACCCTCGACGCCGTCCATCAGGCGCAGTTGGTTCCAGCGGCCGATGTTCTTGAGCTTGGCGTTGGTGGGCCAGCCGTTCATGGGCCACTTGAAATCGACGACGGTGACGTCGACAAAGCCCGCCTTGCGGATTCGGTCTGCACTCTCCTCCCAGATGGTGAAGCTTTTGCCAAACTTGTTGCCCATGTCGACGACCACGTGCCCCCACGTGTGGTAGAAGTGGTCCGGGCCCATGGTTTCGTCGTCGGCCACGGGGCAGACCGAGTGCTCGACGATTTCGATCCAGCCGCCGGGCTTGGTGTGGCGGAAGGCCTGGGCGAAGAAAAAGTCCCAATCCGGGATGCAGCCGAAGAGCTCGCGGATGTGGACAAAGTCAAAGTGGTCGGGGGGAAAGGTCCATTCCAGCGAGACGTCGTCAATCTCAAAGTGACAGTTTGGGGGAACCCACTCGGGCTGGATCGGGGAGAGATCGGTGCCCGTGACGGTTGCCTCGGGATACTGGTCTGCCATGTCCTGGCGCGATGGCGTTAGTGGGTGAGGGGTGTGTGTGTGGCGGTGAAGGAGACTCACAATGGCCCAGATGCCGGTGCCGGTGCCGCAGTCGAGGATGGCGTGCGGGTGGTGCAGCGGGGCCAGATGCAGCTTCTGGTCGAGCGTCAGGAGATACATGTGGTGGGCAAAGTCGAGGATTTCCTTGGCCAGCTCGTCGTTGGGGCCCCAGTAGGCGCCGTCGCGGTATGCGTGGTACTGGCGCCCGTTTTCCATGCGGTGGTTGAGGATGGACGAGGCGAGCGAGTCGGTCTCGTCGCCGAGGAGGCTGCCGCTGTCGAAGCCCGAGTCGGACGAAGAGTCGTGGATGGTTGCTTGGTCGGCGTCTGAGTCTGGGTCTGAGTCCGAGTCCGAGTCCATGTCCGGGGCGGGGGCGGGTGCAGGCGCAGGTGCAGGTAGAGGTGCAGGTGGCGGGGCGTCGTGTTGTTGGGCCATGGCCGTGGGGAGATGCCAGTTGTGCGAGCGGCGGGGGAGAAGGCAGGCGGCGGGGGGCGAGAGGGGGGAGGTGAGGGGAGGTGAGGGGAGGTGAAGGAGAGATTCAGAATCAGGCAGCCCGGCGAGGCGAGGGGGTGAGATAGTTTGGGGGTTGGACAGTGTGTGCGGGAGCGCCGCGTCTCAACCGGCCGTCGTCTAACTCGTGCTACCACCACCTACTGTACACCTACACCTAGGGCCAACAGGGGCCGCTATGGCGCCGCGTTCGCGCACCATCCCCGAGGCGATCGTGCAGATCGGCCCTTTTCGCGCGTGCTCGTCGAGGCCTGGCTGCGCCGGGGGGTATTAGTAGTAGTAGTAGCAGTAGCAGTAGTAGTCGTCGTCGTGGTCGGGGGGAATGTATCCATGTGCTCTGTATGTATGTCAGACGCGCCACCTCACCCCGCGCACGATACGTGGATTCCTGCCATTGCACCCCGCGCGGCATGCGCTAACTGCATTGGGCAGGCCTGCTCTCTGGTTCAACTTGCATCTTTTTAGTTGTGGCTGTTGTTAGAGTGTTGATATACTTCTGCGCCTTTGTTCAGTTTAGCTATTATGTCTATACTTACATACACACCTGCCTTTATCCTCTGCACTGCTAGTAAGCTTTCCATCAGCGTAAAACTCGTACTGTCTGCCATTAGCGTTTAGATTATTTGTGAACAAGCAAGAGAGTGCTTTATGGAACGCAAGGGTGAATAGGAGGCGGCTAGGTGCTGCTAAGCGCTGCCCGCGCAAGCTGGCTAGCGCGTCTTGGCATCGCCTCGCAGCCGCGGCCCAGCCACCAGCCACCAATCAGCATCGCCATGATGAGACTCGCCCGCCCCTCCCATAGGGCCTGCAATCGGCCCGCGCGGCTGTCGCGCCAATTTGGTGGGCTCAGGCTGGCTGCTCCCCCACGCCGCCCCCCCTCTCCCCCCCTCTCCCCATAGCTACAGCATCATCATCATCATCATCATCATCACACACACACACACACAAACCCCCCTCCACCTCGAATCCACTCCTCCCGTCGCAGCCATGGGCGAGGCAGCTGTCCGCGGCCCACCACACCATCCCCCCCTCCCCATCCTCATCATTGGCTCTGGTACGCCGCCTACGCCGCACGCCTGCTTGCCGCCGCCCTCTCACTGATTCGCAGGAATAACGGGCCTGGCGCTCGCCCAAGGCCTCCGCAAGGTATGTACTGTCCAGTGACGAGTGCCAGTGCCAGTGCCAGTGCCAGTGCCAGTGCCAGTGCGAGTGCGAGTGTGAGTGCTGCCAGCACCCGTGTGGAGGGATGCATCCGACACGGTACCGTCCGTCTGGCGCTGACACGACGCCAGGCCGGCATCCCGTGTACCGTCTTCGAGAAGAACACCGCCCGCCATGGCGAGCGCGACTGGAACATGGGCCTGCACTGGGGCGCCCCCGTCCTCAAGAGCCTCATGCCCGACGCCTGGTGGGACGGCATCCAGAGCCTCCAGGTCGATCCCAGCGTGCCGACCAAGGACCACGACACGCTCAAATGGCTCCGCGGAGACACGGGCGAGCTCATCGCCGCCATGACGTTTGGGCCCTTTTACCGCCTGCGAAGAAGTAAGCTGCGCGACGTGCTCGCCCACCGTGTCGACGTGCACTACGACAAGCGCCTGCACGCCGTGTCGTATGCACCCGACGGCCTCTCGGTCACGGCCCATTTCGCTGACGGCACCACGGCCACGGGAAGCATGCTGGTCGGTGCCGACGGTGCTCGCTCGGCCACGCGTGAGATGCTGCTGGGCCGCGAGCTGGGTGCAATCAGCCACATCCCGTATGCCGCGACGTTTGTCCACTCGACATTCTCAAAGCATCAGGCCCTCTACCTCCGGTCCTTCCACCCACTCTACCTGGCATCGGCCCATCCAAACAACCTCTTTGCCTTCTTCGGCCTGCAGCACGCCCCCGACGCCGACGACCCCTCGTCGTGGACCTTTTTCTACTACATCTCGTGGCGCTGCACGCTCGAGGAGCACGAGGCGGCCAAGAGCTGGTCCGACGCCCAGCTCCTTGCCCAGCAAAAGGAGTTTGCCAAAGACTTTTGCGACCCCTGGAAGAGTGCTTATGAATGGACCCCAGAAGACGCCTCCGTCTGGAATCTCGGGCTCACAGAGTGGGATCCGGGCCTGGACGGCCATCGCTGGGACAACCACCGTGGACGCGTCACCCTGGTCGGCGATGCTTGCCATCCAATGACGTATCAGCGCGGACAGGGCCTGAACCACTCGGTCACCGACGCAGCAAATTTGTGCGAGGCCATCAAAAGGATGGCTGCCGGCGACGACAGGCAGGCTACCATGACAGCCTTTGAGGACGAAATGATCAAGCGAGGCGGCGCCGAGGTCAGGGACTGCACCGCCAACACGGCCATGCTGCACGACTGGGAGCGCGTCCGACAGAGTCCTCTTTTTACAAAGGGCATGAGCAAGACGCAGAACGAGGCTTGAGCACAGGCCGGGCTTGCTTCTTGTCAATGATTTTACGAAAGCAGTCTCGGTTGAGCCCTTACCTGATGGATGGTAGAGTACTACTAGCTGCTAACTACATACATACATACAGCATACATGGTAGAGGCGGGGTCACCACGTGCATCATCCCGCCATCTCGGTTCTCTTGCGGAGCAATACACCACCTATCACTACATATAAAACCATGTCAACATCACTCACTACCACTACCACTCCGAATTCTCGGTGCATGTCAACCCGTCTCCCAGTCATGCACGTGACACAATGCGACATGGTTCCAGCGTCAGGGGCAACGGAACTAAGCCTGCTTAACCCCGCCCTCCCCTCAGTTGGGCCAGCACTGGGCCTGGCGTGCCTCGGATAATGTTTTCATCTTTTCCCTCACCCAACATGTCGTCGGCTATGTTCGGTTGTCGTCGCCGTCGCCGTCGCTGCGGGAGCTGTCCAAGCTGCAGCGACTCGTCAAAGGCTCCTTGCTTGTTGGTCACTGGATAAGTAGCCCAAGTACGGAGGTGCCTCACAAAAGTTTTGTCCCACGCTAATCTCGGCGCTTCGGCATAACTCTTCTTGGCGCAACTCCCACCTTTGAGCTGAGTAGCTGTACGATTTGTCTGTATCTATCGTTACAATGTCTCCTAATACTGATCCTTACACCCGCACCTTAATTGTGGCGTTAAAGTCACCTTCTGTTGGCAAGTCTACATCACAGATCTCTGAACTTACTGGTGTTCATCCTCGTACGGTCAATCGTATCTATAGTAGAGCTATTGAGGCTG